GCACTGTGGTCAGAAAAACTTTTCCTCGGTGAGTTACAGGATGGGTAACATCTCTTGTCTTGCCACTCAATGGCAGCATTATCCCCCATATGTCTGTCATTGTGAGGTGCAAAAAATGGTCTTGTTATTTCTGAATATCCTCAAGTAAGTAGGACTGTCAAGTTGAAAACCATGTTATACCATTTGGGAAGTTTAATTTTATTTTGTTTTTCATTTTTCCTGTAATCTTTGTTCTTACTGCCCTACCATAGACTCTAGTCCTGAGGCTGTAATTCAAATAAAAAACATAGGAAGTCAAAACCTTCTACAAAAGATGCAAAAACACTGATCTAAACAGATAAATCTTACTTCAGGATCAAGAACAACATAGAGCATTTCTCCATACTTATTATTAATAGAAAAAGCAATAATTAGATAATAATAAATAGTTTTAGTTAGCAATATGTCTCCTACTTGATGAAGGCAACATTAGGAAAATGTATATTAAAAGAGAATAGTTCCCATGATCTCTGGGCATATTAATTTTTGTCCTAATATGGTCCTTCATTAAGATTTTTAAAAATCTTAAGAAAATGTCATGTATAAGACATTAGGAGTTAATCTAGGGTTCATTCAGTGGGTCAATCTATCATAGGACTTATTTTGTACGTAATCTTATGAATCTAGTGATTAACATGTTCTATCAACACAATAGCTAATAAACTGTTTGACTACTCATATCTTTAGCAAAATAAAACAAAGTAGCATCAGGTACATTTTCTTAGCTCTGATCTGATAGAAATCGGACAGAGGCTGTGACTGTCCTACCAATCACACACTGGACTTTTCTGAAGGCTCGTGTCAGATCCAATTACCCTGGAAATCTGAAAGCTTGAGAACTCAGGCCATGATACAGATTAAGGCACAATCAAAAACATCTTCTAGTTAAAATCATATAAAATATCTTCCGCCTAGGAAGGCAACCAATCTAATATACTATAGACTCACTGGGTTCTATTTGCTTCTGTAAATAACAGAATTATTAACTGCTTTTAACTTACAAAATAAATAAATAAAACTACATTCTATATGTTCAGCATGCCACTGTTTATACACTCCAGCTGTGGGATATTACTACAGTAACAGGAATACAGAATCAGCTCAGTTCTCTATGCTATGATGAAAGCGTTACTAATTTAAAGAATGCAATATGCTGAAGACAGGCAGAAACAATTTCACAGTATAGTTAGTCATCAACTTGCTCATACAAGAGGAGAGAGATGAGATGAGTATTTGAAATGACAGGAAAGTAATTGAATCATTCTGTTGACAATGACTGACAGTCAGTCTTGAAGTTGAGAAACTGAAACATTTTAAACATGAATGAATGAATGAATGAATGCCCAAATAAGGCAACAGAATGATTGGTTAAAAAAAAAGTGATGAAGCAAATATGGATAGTAGAGCTAACTTTTTCAAAAGGGCTGATACTTGTTTATAACCTCTTGTAAGACAGATCTGAATAAAACTTATTCCTGTGACTTTTCACACACATCTAGTCTTCAGATTGGCAAAATTTTAAAAACTGCATATCAAGTCACTGCCCACAAGGAATATGTGTGAATGTGCTTCCACTAATTGGTTCATTGAGCAGATATTTACTGAATGTGGTTAGGTGCCAGGGGACACAAAGATGAAGAAGATAATGTCCCTGCCTTTAAAAATTAATATTAATGGAGAAGACAGTCCTCAAAGTAAAATAGAACAACTTAGTATGATTCCCGAAATAGAGGTTCAGATGAAATACTATGGGGACATACTGTCACAGCCATATTTTCCCATCATTCATAAAAGATTGACGCTTGGCTGCACACCAAAATGCAGGGTTTATTAAAAAGGTAAGTGGCAGATTTATGAAACAGTATAAAATTCATAATCAGTTTAATTGACAAGAGGCACATCACTTGACATAGAGACTGAGTTGACTATGATCCCCCACCTCAAAACAAATAATTAAAACTTCTTACATTTCTAAAATATTATTCCACCATAGAAACTATGGTACAGACTGTAGTGAAATATTTATTAGATGATATTGTTGACTGCCAAATGAGCCATAGAAGTATAACTTCTGGGATAGTAGTACCAGAGAGCTTTCTTCCTTTTGTGGGATAAACCAATAGAAAGGATTAATGTAAAAATTTCTCAGCTCCTTTGACAGAAGTGTACCAATGTGTCAGGAAGAACAAAACATGCATGGTCCAGGGAGAGGCTGAAAGGATCAGGAAAACCACTAGAGTCAACCTGGAACATGTGGCTTCTCATTTTATGTTACCAGCATTTACGTCCAACTGTCGATGCCAGTAGAGAAAAAAGGTTAGAGATTTACCTTGATTTAGTGGGAAACAGGCTAAGAATGCAGCTTTTCCCAAACTCATATAGAGCAAATGGTGCTTCCCTCAAGCAACAAGGAATAAAAAGTTCTTGAAAAAATTACTCTAAAGAAGAAGAAAATTCATTTAAGTAAAGGAAATTGAAATGCTTTTTTCCTAGCTAGAAAAAAACACTGCTACCTAAGTCACCTGAACTCCTTGAGCTACTACATGTTTCTCAAATACTTTTCTGTCGTTCCTTGTTACCCATGGGTTCAATAAATATTCCTTAAAAGCTCAGTGTATTCAGCACTTGGGATTGAAAACTTTTTCTTCAATGGTCACATAGTAAATATATTAGGTTTTGCAAGCAAGCTATAAAATCAAGGAAATTATGTAGATATGTATAATAATTATTATTTAAATATTTTATTATATATATTTAATATATGGTGCATATTTGCATTTAAATATATCAAAAGGCATCTTTAGTTTGCAGTAAAAAGGGCCATAAATAGTGAAAATTAGGCTGGCACCATGGCTCACTAGGCTAATCCTCTGCCTGTGGTGCTGGCACCCCAGGTTCTAGTCCCAGTTGGGGCACGGGGTACTAGTCCCGGTTGCTCCTCTTCCAGTCCAGCTCTCTGCTGTGGCCCGGAAAGGCAGTGGAGGATGGCCCAAGTGTTTGGGCTCTGCATTCCCATGGGAGACCAGGAGGAAGCACCTGGCTCCTGGCTTTGGATCTGCGCAGTGCGCCGGCCTCAACGTGCTGGCTGTGGCGGTCACTTGGGGGGTGAACCAAAGGAAAAAGGAATCCCTTTCTCTCTGTCTCTCTCTCTCTCTCTCTAACTCTGCCTGTCAAAAAAAAAATAGTGAAAATTAATAAACAATATGCAAATATTTTATTCTCTTATAAACTTACAGGAGTGCTATTTTTCTCATTTATTTCAGATGGAGATATGAGGCTCAGATACTGAGTCAAATAACTCAGTATTAACCCGTAAGTTGTAGAGTCAGGATTCCAAGTTGTATCTTTTCCAAAAGAACAAACATTATCTCTGACACTCCACAGATAGCGCTCTCACATTCATACAGATGAAATGAATTCTGCTAATTCCTATTATAGAGGATATCTGAGAATATTTATCACATGACATTAATTTTAACTAATAATTGGTAATAGTAAATATTTATGATTTCAATGAATTAACACTGTTCTAGTTTCTTAAATCTTTGATTTCATTTAATCATCATAGCACCTCACAGAGAAGATACTGTTATTATTCTTTTATACAAAAGAAGAAAAAAAGAGAGAAGTTAAATCATTTCCCAAAGATTCCCCCACATTAAGAACTAGTGCTTTATTTCAGGTATTTGTAAAGTCAAAACTCTAGTTGTTTTGAGGTTCAGCTCAATTCTCTCTTTCAATTTGAGATTGTTTTTTCCCTCATTGTTGAGAAGTAACTAAGGTAGTTAGTGTTCCCAAGGAATAATTTCCTCATGTTTTCCATCCCTTAAGTCAAAGAACACATAAATCAAAACCAAAAGCTAATCATACTTGCTGAAATTAAAGGATGAAATAAGATATAGATTTTGTGGGTGATGCTAACACTTCTTCATACATAACACTTTTTATGTAAAAAAAATCCCAAGAAAATGCCATTTGACAGCACGGGCCAGGGGAATCAAGAAAGTCAGGTGCTTTCCAAGGGCCAAATTCTGTCAGAGCCCCTACAAAATGTCTCATTTGTTCTCTGCACCCAGTGTTTCCTTGCTACATATTATACAGTATCAACACTCTACTTAGATGGCAAATAGTTTTCAAGCTGTCAGAACCTGAAAATGCCATGGAAATTTCTGATGTCAAAGTTGAAAAGGTTTTGTAGGTCTTTTCAACTTGGTAGGGATGAGTGCCGTGATTGAGTAGCCTTGCCTGCCATGAATAAGGAAGAAAGGTGGTATCATATTTGCGGACAATTCTGTATCACTTGTTCCCATTTCTCTGTCAGGATATAAAACTTCTGAGTAAAATCTGAATTTCATGTATCATTCATCAGAGAGAGAAGCCTGGTGACTATGAATTCAGCTTTTTTGACCACTGTATTTATGGGTTGAAATTAATCAACTGGCATTCTGTTCCATTTACTAGTCTTTTGTGAAGTTGGTTATACAAAATCCAATCAGTATCATCCATTCTCCGTGTGCTTGACAAGATCAATTTTCTGAGTTGTCAGTATTGATGAACAAACCTCAAACTAAAATACCAAGATGGCCTTCCTATTAGGAAAGAATTCTATCAGGCACTTTTTCACTTTAATAAAGACAATTATTATCAAGCTCAGCTTTACCATTTCCAAGTTTAATAATTTCTTTTCTTAAATTCTTCTTTGTGAATTGATTATTGCCATGATTATGTTAAATCTAATACTAACACTCCCACTATTTCTCATCTTGATTTTAAAATCAGTGAGAGTACCTTGAGTAGTCTAGTACTCTCTCCATTGTATTAGTTTGTCAACATCACTTACACTGGCATCTTCTTTTCCCAGAATCCCTCTTTCCCAAATTCAGATATACCCATATCCTCCTTTGTGACATCATCATTTTATGTTCTCACACTCCCCTTTCTGAACCCATGTTTAGGTTTACCTTTCGAACATTTGCCAACCGATTCATCATCAAGGACTCCTCTCGATCATCATCGTCATCCAAGTCGAGCATGGGCATGCCAAAGGGGTCAATGATGCTGCAGCACCTGGAGCCTTCATCTCGAGGATCAAATGGATCCACAATTATGGGCTCAGTTCCTTTTATTTCACAACGACAGAAGGGGCAGCCCTGGCCATCGGATTCCTGAACGAACAGAGAAAAGGCAGTAATTGGTCTTTGTTGAAAACAGATCGTAGTGAGAAGTACCAATATTCTACAACTACCAAAAAAGTTGCAAAGAGGTTTTTGGGTAAAAGGCGGAAGAAGTTTGCTCAGAAGAAGTAATGGGAGCATAATAGGGAGTCAACAAAATACATGACACATGTTTAGAACCTTGTATTTCTCAAGAAGAAATATTTCTTTTATTTAAAAAAAAAAGACTGAGTTGCCAAAGAAAAGGAGCCTTTTTATTTCCCTGAATGTTCATTTATAATTCTAATGTATCAAGAGCCCTGTCAAAAACTAGAGATTGAATCATATTCTTCTTTACTGACAAGACTGCAGAACTAATTAAACATTCTATAAAAAGGGCATTTTGACAAGAAAAAAAATAAAAGTTGTGGTATTGATAGGAAGAATCCATTTAAAAATCTGGAAAAGTTCCTGCGAATATAAATATTGCCAAATATTTCCATTTTAGTTGCCAGGTCTCTAAAAATCTTGATTTATAAGGAATTAGAGAAGAAAAATATGGCAAATATATTATACTGTGAAACCAAAAGCCTATCTCATCTGGACATAGTTCATTTAGAATATAGTATTCTTGCCCATAATCTTGCTTTCAAATTAGATACTGCCAAAAGATTTGTACAAAAGCTTTTGGGCTGGAAATCATTTATTCATAATGATAGGTGGCTTTGTTCAAAGTCTCCCAAATTAATTTCTCAGAACTAACTGCATTAACAATTAAAAACTGGCAAAGAATTAGGACAAGCTTATTTTCTTGCCCTGTAGAGATAGATGGCAAAAGATAGTCACCACCCTATTTTTCTTTTTGCATTACTATCTGATATTATTAGTGTTTTTTTTTTTTAAGATTTTATTTCTTTATTTGAGAGGTAGTTAGAGACACTGAGAGGGAGAGACAGAGAGAAAGGTCTTCCTTCTATTGGTTCACTCCTCAGAGGCCTGCAACAGCTGGAGCTGTGCTGATCCGAAGCCAGGAGCCAGGTGCTTCTTCCTGGTCTCCCATGCTGGTGCAGGGACTGCTCTCTCAGGCCATAGCAGAGAGCTGGATTGGAAGGAGGCAGCTGAGACTAGAACCTGCATCCATATGGGGTGCCGGCGCCGCAGGTGGAGGATTAACCTACTGCGCTACAGGGCAGGCCCCTATTAGTGTGTTATTTTACAAGTGGTCAAAATCATAAAATCACTTTAGGGCAGAAACAGATGAATTAGCAGCATTTTGGGGATAAAACAGGATGCAGAGAGAGCTAATACTTGGAACTGTTCACTTGTTTAAATGTGAGATGCGTGATCTACCTGCTCTACAGGGCTCACATTAGTGGTGGAAGAATTCTTTTGCTCTCCTCTCAGGGGCCAATTACCACGCATTTACTCTGTGGCAGACTTTATGTCAAATAACATACTTTTTCTTTCTTTCCTTTTTTAAAGATTGGTTTATTTATTTGAAAGGCAGAGTTACAGAGCCAGAGGCAGTGTGGGGAGGGGGGTGGGTGGAGGAAGAGAAAGAGAAAGTCTTCCATTTGCTGGTTCACTCCCCTGATGGTCACAACAGCCAGAGCTGCTCTGACGTGAAGCCAGGAGCCAGGAGCTTCTTCCAGCTCTCCCACGTGGGTGCAAGGGCCCAAAGACATGGGCCATCTTTCACTGCTTTCGCAGGCCATAGAAGAAAGCTGGATCGGAAGTGGGGCAGCCTGGACTCAACTTAGCGCCTAAATGGGATGCCAGCACTGCAGGAGGCAGCTTTACCCACTACACCACAGCGCCAGCCCCAGCACACTTTTTCTAAGCTTAACTCAGATTAATAAATTGAATATCTTCTTTGTCAGGTAAATTGTCAAAAAAAGCGAAAATCACTCTGGATTACTTAAAAGAAATTAACATTTCCTTATTCATCTGCTTTTACATAATTTGGTAAAGAAACTTGAAATGGTAACATCATTGAATCAAGGTGGTGTGAAAAAATATATTCATGTCAACACCGGTGCTTTTGTGTGCCTAATACCATACACTGTTCAGGACTGGTGGACTTCTAACCCTTTAAACATTATTTTGTCCATCGTTTTACAGACAGTTAAACTAAGACAACTTTTTTTGGTTTAGATAACTTCTTTATGCTCATATTTTTAAACATAGGAGTAGGTTTTTAAGGAAATCTAAACTTTTTCCCTATCTTTCAATAATAAGAATATTCAATTTTTTAAAGAGTATATTCAATATATACTATCATTCAGGGAAAATTTCCTTACCATAAAAGTCAAAAGAGATTCATATTATGTAAAGTCAAAAGAAATCCACATTATGTGCCTGTGGTGAAATCTACTTCCATTTCAGCACAAGAAAACAGTAAAAAGGGGGTTGGCATTGTGGATGGCAGCATTCCATACTGCAGAGTCAGTTGAGTCCTGACTGCTCCACTTCTTCTTCTTCGTTTTTTTTTTTTTTTTTTTTTTTGGAGATTTTATTTATTTATTTGAGGGGTAGAGTTACAGACAGTGAGAGGGAGAGACAGAGAGAGAAGTGCCAGGAACCAGGTCTTCTTCCTGGTCGCCCTCATGGGTGCAAGCCCCAAGGACTTGGACCACCTTCTACTGCTTTCCCAGGCCACAGCAGAGAGCTAGAATGGAAGAGGAGCAGCCAGGACTAGAATCAATGCCCATATGGGATGCAGGCGCTGCAGGTGGAGGATTAACCTACTGCGCCATGGTGCTGGCCTCATGACTGCCCCACTTCTAACCCAGATCCCTGCTAGTGTACCTGAGAAGCCAGCACAAGACAGCTCAAGTACTAGGGTCCCTGACATCCATGTGGGAGATCAGGATGGAGTTTCTAAGTCTTGACTTCGGTTAAGCCCATACCTGGCTGCTGTGGGTATTTGGGGAGTGAACCAATGGATGGACGATCTCTCTGTGTTTCTCCCTCTCTGCCACACTCTTACAAAGAAATAAATAACTTTTTTAAAAAAGACAACAGAAAAATGATACTTTTTATACATAAGAGCAATCTATGAAGACCACATGTTTTCTGTGCCTTTAATGCATGAAAAATGGAAAGCTGTACTCTCAGCCCTAAGTACCCACTGTATTCACACATTTAAAGAAATTGTTATAGGGGTTTAGTGCTGTGGCGTAGTTGGTGAAGCCACTGCCTGTGGCACCAGCACCCCATAAGGGTACTGGTTTGAGACGTGATTGCTCCCCTTCAGGTCCAGCTTCCTACTAATGAGCCTGGGAAGGCAGTGGAAGATGGCCCAAGTACTTGGTCCTCTGCACCCACATGAGAGACCCAGAAGAAGTTCCTGGCTCCTGGCTTTGGATTGGCCCAGCTCCAGCCACTGCAGTCATTTTGGGAGTGAGCCAGCAGATGGATGATCAGTCTCTCTCTCTCTCTGTAACTCTGCCTTTCAAATAAATAAAATAAATATTGAAAATAAATAAAAGAAATTATTGCATAAAATTTCAAATATATGTAAAATTAGAAAAGTATACCAAACCTCTACGTAGTTACAGCCCAACTACAATAATTTTCAACTCATTCCTCAATCAAGCTTCATTTGTACTTTCACATGCTCCTTTCAATCTTTTTTTTTTTTTTTTTTTTTTTTTTTTGACAGGCAGAGTGGACAGTGAGAGAGAGACAAAGGTCTTCCTTTTGCCGTTGGTTCACCATCTAATGGCCGCTGCGGCCAGCGCACTGATCTGATGGCAGGAGCCAGGTACTTATCCTGGTCTCCCATGGGGTGCAGGGCCCAAGTACTTGGGCCATCCTCCACTGCACTCCCTGGCCACAGCAGAGAGATGGCCTGGAAGAGGGGCAACCGGGACAGAATCCAGCGCCCCGACCAGGACTAGAACCTGGTGTGCCGGCGCCGCAAGGCGGAGGATTAGCCTAGTGAGCCGTGGCGCCGGCACTTTCAATCTTGATTATTATGAAGCACATATTCCATGTCAAAAATTCCACCATAAATATCTTAGTATGTGTAAGCAGAAATAGGAAATCTTCTAAAGACTGAACTACAATATGATTATCAGAATTAAAAATTATCTGGGGCTGGCACTGTGGTGTAGTGGGTGAAGTCACTGCCTGCAGTGCAGGCATCCCATATGGGTACTCGTTCAAGTCCCAGGTCTTTGGGCCCCTGCACCCATGTGGGAGACCCAGAAGAATCCCCTGGCTCCTGGCATCGCTTCGGTGAAGCTCCGGCCATTGCAGCCAGTTGGGGAGTGAACGGGCGCATGGAAGACCTCTCTCTCTCTCTCTCTGCATCTGCTTCTCTGTAACTATCTTTCAAATAAATAAATAAATAATATCTTTAAAAAATAATTAAAAATTATCCCATTCAATCTAAATCATTAAAGTCACATACTTTTTGAGACTAGTGGATTGTGTAAGTTATTCTATTAGTTTACCCAGGTTTCTCTTAGAACCATAAAAATCAATTTACATGTTGCTCTGGTTAGGGATGACTTCCAGTTTGTTTGATCTAGTTCCTCACAAAAGGTAACTGAAAAGAATGAGTTTGGAAGAGGAGGGAAATGAAAGCTAACAACAGTGTGTGTATTTACAAGAAGACTGGAAACAGTCCATCTAAGACTAAATTTGTGTTTTTCTTGATCCATCCTACCAGAAAATTTTAATGTTTGTTATATAAATTGAGGATGTGAGTCAAAGTAGTCATATTATAAGAGAAGTTACCACAAGAGAGTTTTGTCCAGTTTTATGTGCTGTTCAAAGTGGACTACCCAGTACATCAACAAAAAAGCTTCTATGAACATCTATCTTCATTTGCAAACTCACACATTAACTTCTCTCCATAATGGCACTGATAATAAAATGACTTTACTCAGCATTCTTTCTTTATAAATTGACTACTGTCACATGCAAATTAAGTTTAACCATAAATTCTCAAATGCCACCACAGTTACTCTGCCCTAGTTTCTGCGATGTGGTTGATTGAATAC